GGCAGCTTGTCTATTTTATACTATCTCTCATTTCATTTTAATCTGATTTCATTTTAATCTGCCACAATAAACATGTCAAAAAGGTATTTAAAGATTATTTAACTTAATAATTTTTTATTTTTTTTCCAATTCAGCTGTCCTGCCCTTGTTTATTTAGGACCAAGTTATTTAAAATTACAAGTTTTATCTCTAACTATAATAGATCCAACCAAATGAAGGACTTGTTTATATGATTTTATACACCAGGTGCAATCTGTCTAAATAGCTCTTGGCCTCTCTCAAAGTCCTTAACTCACTAAGGACTTTTTTCCCATTGTTCATCAGTTGGCAGCTACCCATCATATCAAGAAGCAAAATAAGAAAAAACATAAAACGGATTAAAAAAAAACACAGAAGTATAGGGGGATATGATGAAAATATACAAATACAAAAGAAAAGGAGGTAAAGGAATATCGAAAAAAAACAAAACAAAAAGCAATTTTGCCTATCCTAATGTCATTATTATAAGCTTGTAGGTGGTTTGGAAAAATTATATACTGACTAGACAAATTAGTCTTTACTTTTATTTTTCTCTAAACTAGTATGCAAAAATAAAAACCCAATAGGAAAAACTTTATAATTACATAATATGCTTTTGTTTATCAACAAATTGGATATAATAAAGAATATTGGTAAGACAGTCAAAGTGAAAAAAAAATTATATAAATGTTATCAAATAAAAACAATTTTTTTTTAACTTTAGTAATCTTACCATCATTTTATTAAATATTTGTTAGCAAATTTATATATATTACTATATATAATCTATTACAGAATTATATACATATTAATACAAAATCTAATTTACTTAGCTATATATATCCAAATATGATTTGCTTGCACTAGGCTAATGTTATAACTGATATTTTAAAGAATATAAATTATCATTAAATTGATTATTGAATTAATTTGTGAAACTCCTAAGTTTGTATGATTGCAATCTGAATATCTGACCTACAAATATTATATTCCTCTAAAAATAAGCACTTCTTTTTTGCATATAATGCTAACCATAATTTAGTAAAGCAGGCTATAGTTAATATAGTGTAGGCTAAGGGTGCTTATTTTTGGAAGTGCTTATTTTAAAGAAATATGGTATCTGAAGTTGCAACTTCAAATATTTAAAGTAACACTATCTGAAGTAGCAACTTTAATGGGATTTATATTAGTTATATTATTATATTTGAAGAATCTAAAATAACTTTTGATTTAAAGTTGCAACTTTGGATAGTTGAAATTGCTACTTTAAATATTTAAAATTGTTATTTTAAACATCTGAAGTTGCAACTTTAGATATCCAAAATTGCTAATTTAGATATTTGAAGTTGCAACTTTAGATATCCAAAGTTGCAATTTTAAATACCTGAAGTTGCAACTTCAGATATCTGAAGTTACTATTTTAGATAAGTTACAACTTAAATATTTGAATAGCAACTTTAGATATCTAAAAGTTGTTACTTCAGATATCCGAAATTGCTACTTTAGATATTTTGAAGTTGCGATTTAGATACGTATCTGAAATTGCTACTTTAGATATATGAAGTTACAACTTAAATATTTGAAGTTGCACTTTAGATATTTGAAATTGCTACTTTATATATTTGGAGTAATAATTTTAGATATTTGAAATTGCACTTTAGATATTGAAGTTGTTATTTTAGATAAATTATAACTTTAGATATTTAAAGTAGCAACTCCAGATAGCAATTTTAAATATCTTAAGTAGCAGCTTCAAATATCTAAAACAGCAATTTTAAATGTTTTTATTTGAAGTTGCAACTTTAGATAGGGTAATTCCAGATGGAAGACTACTTCAGATAAGACATTCTTACTATATAGTTTTTCTTAACTAAGTACTAATATAAACCTTATTAAAGCATTCAACCCGCTATTAAATGAAAAGATTCGACTCGTTATTCGATGAGAGTATGAAAGCATTCGATTCGTTATTCAATGATCAGTATAAACTTTATAGAAAATAGATTACTTAAATAAACTGAATATCTAGGAGCTCAAATTAATAGCACATCTGATTATTTATTGAATTAAATTCATAAAAACTATATAAATTACTGTTATTGCTATTGCTACATTTTGGAAAACTCATTTATTTTGCCAGAAATGAATTATCGAAAGTGACTATAACGAGATTCGATTATATTATAAATAAACAATTTCAAAATTATAGAAAAATCTATTATATATATATGTAAATACAGTGTTTTAATTATTATTCTTATTTATATTAACTACATATATATTTTATTGTACAAAAATCATAAATACTAAACTAAACCCTACAACCACAAAACTAATCATAACACCCCATAAACCAGAAGTCACATCATTCGTACTTATGTTAGATGACCCAGTTTCTTGAACCAATGCAGCAGTTACTCTTCGAATTATAACAACAGTTGTTGGATAAACTGATTTCACAGTGGGTGTTGGATCACCATCATCATTTGTTACTGTTAACGTCTCTGAATGACCGGCTATATATTTGGTATAGGTCGTAATATATGTTGTATATTTAAGATTTGACGAAGCTGCACCTGAAGGAGGAGGTAATATTTCATCTGCTAGAGTTATCGTTTGTATAATAGGCTGTCTGTAAAAAAAA